AAACTTATAAAATCATGAGGGGCATGGATAGGATGAATAGCCAAGGTCTTTTTCTCAGAGTAGGGGAGTCCAAAGCTAGAGGGTGTAGGTTTAAGGTGAGAGGGGGAAAGATTTAAATGAGACCTGAGAGACAACTTTTTCCTGCAGTGTGTGGTGCATGTATGGAATGAGCTGCCAGTGGAGGAGGCTGGTAGAATGACAACATTTAAAACACTTTTGGATGGGTACATGATGGGAAGTGTTTAGAGGGATATGGGCCAAATGCTGGCAAATGGGACTAGACTAGTTTAGGGCATCGGGTTGGTGTGGACGAGTTGAATCAAAGGATCTCTTTCCATGCTGTATAACTATGAATCTTATAACTAGTCTGCAGTGAGTCAACTGAAACCTTGACCCCTAGAAATGAGCATCTTCCAATATTAAATTTGTGAAAGGAATCAAAAATTGAGCCTAGGCATTGTTGTGTTCCTTCTCCAGAACTCTAATTATGCTGATTTCAAGTTATGGTCTACAATTTCTTGCCCTTAAGGTAATTATTACCATATTGTAGTTTTGGTTAAGAGGTTCCAAGATCTCATGGAAGATCTATTATGTTTTTATTTGGCACTCCTGTGTGACCTAATTTTGTTTCCTGTGAGATATTTATACTGTTGTTGTGCAGTGCAGAAATAGAGTACAGATCTCCCTAAATAACTTGCTTAAGGGTTTTGGTGCATTATAATAACAATAAAATAATGAATGCTTAATCTTCTTTAGCTGTGCTGATCGCATTTATGATGTGTGCTTGAGGCACCAGTGTGTTCTGCATTTGTTCTTGAGAGATTGGCGAATCTCCTCCAATCTTGGAAAAGTCTCACTTGAGGGTAGACCATTTAGATCAATTCAGAGTTGACGCACTTTGTTTTCTATCCTTGCCTCTGTATGTTTGCTGTAAATGGAGGCTGAATAAAAGGTCAAGAGGTTTAAATAGCCTATCTTAGCTTCATCTTCCTAAAAATGAAGCTACTCCTTCATGGGCTAATGTGATAAGCCATACAGACCAGAATATGTCCAGCTTGAAGCTGCATTTGCTTAGTTAACTGATTCTAGCTGTTGTGGATCTTCAATCATTCCCATCTGGGGATTAAGTAAATAAATTCACCAGTATACCCTCACTGTATTGACCAGTGAGTCCTTTGGAAAATATTTGGGTCAGTTGTGATGCCCATGAAGTTCAATAGAATCATTAATGAGATCTTGTTTTTTGATCAAGCCAGGAGAGAAATCACACTTTCTGTAGAGGCATAGCCCAGCAGGAGAAGAAAGACAGGGAGTTTAGTATACAGTTGCACTTTTGTAGAGTGAAGGAAATTTAAATAGTCTTCATAGGAAATGAAATACTCTAACTTTTCCCTTACCAGGAATTGAGAACCTTTAGTCACTGCTGCGGACTCCATTCTCTATCCACCAACTTCTCCCCTCTCTCCTGAGTGTCTGAGGCTGCACCAGATCTTGGCATTGTATTTGACCCTGAGTTGTGTTCCAGCCATGCATCCAATACTGTAACATCATCTGACTTGGCCCTTGCCTCATTTGATCTGCTGCTTAAATGCTCATGCATGCCTTTGTTACCTCCACACTCAACTATTTCAATATTCTCCTGTCCAGCTTCCCACATGCTGTCCATTGCAAACTTGACCTCAAAGAAAACTTCCTGACGTTGTAACGTTGCCAAATCGCATTGACCCATCATCCACATGTACTCTGACTTGCATTGGCTTCTGTTCTGTCACCACTTCCAGTTTAAAATTCTTATCTTGTTTTCAAATCTCTCACTGTAACCCCATCTGACCCTACCTCCTCCAGCTCTGCAGCCCTCCAAGATATCTGTGCTTCTCCAATTCTGTCTTCGTGCGGAATCCTGACTTTAATCATTCCACCGATGGTGGCCCTGCCTTCAAACCCTAATCCCAGTCTCTAGGGAATTCCTTTCCTAAACTTCTCCATTTCCCAATCCTTCCTCTTTAGGCTGCAAGATCATTTGATTGAGCATACCCTTCTGTGGTGTCAAATTTAATTTGATAATTGTGTGAAACGTCTTGGATAATTTTGTAATGTTACAAGTGCTATATGAATTGCGAAGTGTTAACAATAACTTGCCTGTTCTCGCCAATTCTTAAGTGTGGATTGAGGATAACATTACATTTGAGGATGAGGAAAACATTTTCCATGGTATCAATACCACTTTCCCTTGGTAACTCAATATATTCAACTGATGATTGAGTCTCAGACAGGAGAGTACAAAAAATTAAAAAAGCAAAATTAATAATTGATTGATTGGATTTGTTTAAACTGCAATAACCTTTTAATATAAAGAAAGTACCTGCACCAGTGCACGTTTCTCAAGGTCATGACCTCGGGGGATCCTTCCAAACAGCTTGTTACAAAGAGTTTGTCAGTCTTCAGTGGGGATAGAAGTAGTATCCTCACTAGTACCACTTGTGTTGTCAATAATTCCAGTTAACAGAAAGTTTGGTGGCACTATGCAGAGCAGACCTTGCTTAAGATGGATCACAGCTCAGTCATTAAAAATTACGATTGCCTGTCATATTTGTTAATGATTTGTAGATTGAAGGAGTGCATACATTTAATGTATTTTGTTTGCTTTGCAAATTGGCTCAAATTAACTGGATTGGCGGGGAGAATATTGGGTGAGACTTCCCTATTCCATTTATTGTGTATCCCCTGAGGTTTTGTTAGATTTGGGAACTTGCCACATAGAACAAAATAGTAAATCCTGGTTCTGGCTGCGCTGGCTTAGAGTGCTCTTGCCCCAAGCAGGATTAATTGCTTTGGCGTAACAGTGGAATGGTTACTTCCTCTGCCAGACCATTTGCTATCCTCCTCTTTAATTTTTTGAAATTAATGTCTTATTTTGCATGCTTCATTTTCAAAGTTCATTCTTAATTTCTGGTCATGTACAGCTAGTGGAATTATAACTTGTCTTGGACTGTGCAATGCAGCATGCCTGTACGTCAGTGGTTGGCAGTTCTGTTTTCAGTTGCTAATTAAGTGGTTCTCTCATACCAATGGAGGCTGGCGGAAGAGAGCTTGCATTGGTAATTATCAAGCCTCAGGCAGTCTAATATGCAGAATAAAGGGGAGAGAGGTCAATTAATGCAGTCCATACTCTTCAATATCTTTGAGTTCTTGAATCCCTACCATGGTGGCAGATTAAGACTCACCTCTTATCCAATGCTTGAAGGTTCACTCTGACTTTTCTTCACTATCTTTGATGCAACTCTTAAATTGGCTTTCGTGTTTTTGCTGATCTTGAGAACTCTTAACCAGTCTCGGTGTAGCCACTGGTTGTGACTTTCATTAGAGCCTCAAGGTTTTACCTTTTAAATTTGTCTTTGATAAGTGGACATTGCAGGTAAGACCAGCATAAATTGCTCTTGAGAAGGCAAGCCACCTACTGGGTCCACTGCAGTCGTTGAGTGTAGGGGCACTTGCAGTGCAGTTAAAGATGGAGCTCCAGGATTTTGACCCAGTGACAATGAGAGAATGATGATGATAGTTACAAGCCAGGATGGTGTCTGGCTTGGATAGGATCTTGCAGGTGGTGTTTCCATGCCATGTCTTCCGCCCTTGGCCTTCTAGTGGAGACCAAGGGATTGAAAGGTGGTGTCAAAGGAGGCTGGCAATCTGCTGTAGTGTATCTTGCAGATGGTACCTGCAGCTGCCACTGTGTGATATTGATGGAAGGAGTGAATGGGTAAGGTCATGGTGCTGATCAAATGGGCTATTTTGCCTTCTCTGATGTCAGATTTCTTTTGGTTGTAGGAGTAGCATCCTGTAAATAATTGGAGAAAAGTCCTTCATATCTGACTCCTGTCTTGAAGAATGGAGAGGCTTTGGGGAGTAGGGAGAATAGTTACCTTAGAATTCCCAACCTCTGACCTGCTCTTGTAAGCATGGTGTTCACATGGCTGGTCCACTTTGGTTTCTGGTCAATGGTAACTTCTCCTCCACCCCCTCCCCACTCCCCCCGCCCCACTTGCTGTGCTTGTGCTGGCAATTCTGGGAGTAGGAGCTGCACCATTATAGGTAATTCTGGGGGCAGGAGCTGCACTATAATAGTTGAAATGTTTGCCATTCTTCAGTTATAAACAAGTGCTTGCTTCTGACATGGACTTGATAGGCCGAATAGCCTATTTGTATTATTTAGAGTACAGAAGTAAATGTTTGCTCATGAACTGCTTGCTGCTGTCATATTAGTATCTTTCATCTGCACACTTTGACAGGTCTACATTTCCATTGGTTTCAGTCTACATTGCTTGCAGCAAGCTAATAATGTTTTAGACATCAACGTGAAGACTCGATCAAAGTGCATGTTTGAACAAATGTAATTTTCCATCCAGATTTTAACCAGTACAGCCAAATCTTAAAAGGCAATTTATTGAAGGACGTCTTTTAACAAAAAAAGAGAGAGGCAGTAATTGTTCAGTGTTGATTGCTGGTTTTAGGATTAATCATCAAGTGGACTCTTGGGCTTCCTTTACTTTGCAACTCTTTCTCCTGCCTCCGAATACCTGGCTTGATGCATGGATGAGGAGCGACTGAGTATGTGTTTGTGTGAGAGCTGCGTGATTGGAAGTGGTGCATCTTTCTGCTTTGCAGTCATTGAGGATTTCTTAGTCAGCTAGGGCATCATCCGTAATGCAGAGCTGTTATTCCAGCTCTCTATTCCATTGTCCATCTCCCAGCTGCCTACCATCTTTACCAGTGCTTGTCTTCCAAGAGCAGGCCCTCATGGTTATAGGATGTTTCTGTTTCCCTCAGCCCCCTTTTGAAGCAAACCTACAGTCAGTGCTAAATTTGAGAGCCTTTAATTATGCTGTGGGCTCACGTCCACTGGGAACTAGGTTGAGACCTGCCAGAACCTCAAATTAAAATTAGCAAATCAAACTGTGGAAGGCAGGGTGGTAACTGAATCTTAATTTCATTTTGGACAACAGAGCACCCAGTCAAGTTAGGAACCTGTGAGTATTGTGGAGTGACACTAACCACGGGTGTAGGCCTCTCCAACCATATGCGTGGCCATCTGAAATCTGGATTGAAAAGGAAGTTACCGAGTCTGTCTCAGTTTGAGGAACTCCACGAAAAGGCTGAACCTGCACTCACCGACACATGTGAGACCCTTTGGCTTTGTATAACTTAACCAACAAAAACAAACTAAATATGAACTTTGACAGTGCTGGGGAGAAAACTTGTTAAATTGAAATGCACTGTCAAGGAAACTGTGTGATTATACATGCTGTGATCCAGACACAAAGTTAATCCCCTCCCTAAAGAAGTTGAGCCACCATTTCATTGACATGCTTGAGAATGCAAAGCCTAACCCTAGAAGTTCAGGACTAGTTGCAGCTTTTGCTTGCTTATGTATATAAGTTTCTTTTTTTTTTTGCTTTAATTTGCACGTGAGTGGATTGTATTTATTGTACCTCTTTTGTTCTCGCACTCTTTCCCCTGTGTAGAAACCGAACCATGGTGTATAATTCATTGTAATGTGTAAGTAAGCCTATACCGGTATGAGATCAAGCCCCGTTTGCATGCGGTTTGGCAACTTAGAAAATCCTGCATAACATTCACCTTGCAAGCATAACTTTGAGTTCAGTAATTTCAGGGAAGGGGAGGTTAGTAGGTGGAAGAGTAGATGAAAAGAACTGCGCTGATACACTCCTCTCCTATTTAGAGCATAACCTGTAGTTAAGAATTGTGTGCTGCGCTGAATGTGAAAAAGACATGGTGCAGGAATGTAATTGATAAATGGCATTTCTCTTATGGCTGCACAGTTTGTGGCAGATGTGGAATAGTCCAGTTGGTAAGTGCATTTAAACCCTCTAAATGGTCGTTTGCATACACCAGAGGAAAATTGTGCTGAAACTGCGCCACAGTTCCAGAAATTAGATTTTTTTTTTCCCCCTGTCCCAAACTCCATAATGGAAGCAGCTAATTCAGTACACCTTAAAACTATTAAGATGCAGTAACTCTATCTTCTTGCGCAACTTGATAGAATACAGTTGAAATTCACGTGTCAGAATATTACTGACTAAAGTGTGTACAGCTTGGAACAAAGTGTCTACAGACTCTTAAACAGATGTTGAGTCAGTCTTTTAGCAATGATGTCCCTCATTTAAAACACCCTTAAGCCAGTTAATGCAGTGACTTTCTGTGGAAATTATTTAGGAATTTTTAATACAGCTATGTGATCTTTGGAGGGTTTAATTGTACTTCCGGTTTACAGTAAAAGGTGACGACATCTGCAGTTATTCTTAGGAATGCCTTCCTCAAAGTGGAAATGGACATGCGTTTTATGCATTGACTGAAACAGCAAGCTAACGACTTCTCTTTCATGTTCAGACTGTGAGCGTAAGCAGCATAAGCCGGTGGTATGTACAGCGAACGTGTCACCAAAACGTGAGGAAGGGAAGGAGACAAAAACATTCAGGCCAAAATCAGAGGAACCAAGACCCCCACGAGTGAGACCTGTGATCTTTCCAGTGCCGAAGCCCGAACCCATCTCACTGGTGAAGTTTATAGGAAACATCTACACTCTGAAATGCAGGTAAGTGTCCCAGTCGTGCCCAATGGTGGAATGTTTATTCGTATTGCTGTATGGAAAATCAGAGCTGACTTTGTGTACAAATTTGTATTCAGTGATATGAGCAAGGCGGAATCTATTGCCAACACTCCATTCCCTAAAAGATCAGTGTTGGACTTTGGAATTTGTGGACTTTCATAATGGTATTGATTTCCGGGCTATTGACCCGATCTCCGCCGAGGGATATATTTCCATGGCTGGCTGGTGTGTAGCTTGGAAAGGGATGTGGTGATGGTGTTATCACGACTCAGCTGCTCTTGACCTCCTCTATGGTAGAAATTGTCAGGGGAGAGGGAGGTCCTGCTGAAGTAACTCTGGAGCAGTGGATGAATGTTAGGTCCAGTGATGGAGCTAATGAAAAGGATTTGGTGTTCTGGCTGTGCTAATGGTAACTGGTTGTCTGGTAAAGAAGAACTGGGCTAAAGAATTGGGATTTGTAATGTAGCAGTCCATACTTCTAACCCTTGATCCATTTCATTAGGAGTGGTTTCCTCTTCACTGTCACACATCAATTTGTTGTTAATTGTAGGCAAGTGATGCACTCTAATTGGGGATTCACTTGGACCCATGCCAATAGACTGAAACTGTGGCTGTTGGATTAGGAAGTGCATATTTCCAACGTGTAACTAAATAAATGCCTATGAAAGTGCATTAAGATTTCCTCCATTTCTGTCCTCTTTGAACTGGCTTCCTGACAGTGGACATTCATATTCAAAGAAGTGCCATATGACTCGGGTAACCAAATATCTCAACGTCCTGACAGTTTTCTCAAAACTGCTGAAGATTTGGGTTTTTAGCTTTACTGGAGCTCCTCCCTTTTAAGCTGCCCCTCACATTTCTAACCCATCATCTTCCATTTATTATTGGCAAACCCAAAAAAGCTATGCTACACTTCATCCTGGAGATTAGAACTTTTAGAAGGAGAGGGATGAGGAACAGCAAATACTTACCAGTAGCATTCTTTTTCCTTGGCGGGAGCATGTTATATTTCCCACGGGTCTTCAAGGTTGGCAGCATTGAAGATAAACAGGAAGTGTTCCGATAGATCAATGCTCGCCATGACTGGAAAAGGTACAGAGTGACTCGAAAGACAAAAGTAGGGCCTGTTGACTATACGTGAGTAATAAGGGTAGAGAAAGGTTGCGGTGCAGGAGTGGCTTCAGGGTTGGAACTGAGCAATCAGGGGACCCCAGTCGAGGCTGGCATGTGATGACTGGTCATTCAGCCTTAAAGGAACATCTGAACGGGAGTGGGCCATTCACCTCCTTGAGCTTGTTTTGCCATTCGATGAGATTATGGCTTATCTGTGGCCTAACTGTTTATTACCTGCCTTTGGCCCATATCCCTTAATACCTTTGCTTAACAAAAATTTGTCCATCTCAAATTTAAAATTAACAACTGATCCTACATCCACTGCTGTTTGTGGAAGTATTCCAAGCATCTGTCACCCTTTGTGTGTAGAAGTGCTTCCTAAAATCCCCCCTGAGCACACTATCACTAATTTGCAGATAATGCATCCTAGTTCTAGAATCCCAACCAATGGGAATAGTTTATCTTCAACCTACCCTGTCTTTACCCGTTAATAGCTTGAAAATTGAATCAGATTACTGGTTAACCTTCTAAATTCTAGAGAAAATGAGCCAAATTTGTGTAATTCTTCCTCATACCTGAACTTCAGGGGTTAAGTTATCGTTTTTGCAAACCTACATTGTACACCCTCCAAGGTCAGTACGTTCTTCCTAAGGTGTAGTGCTCAGATCTGCTCTCCAAGTGGGGTCTAACCAGGGTTTTGTGTAACTGTAGCATAAATTATTTTCCCTTGTACTCCAAGCCTCCAGATATAAAGGCCAGCAATCCATTAGCTTTCTAGATTATATTTTGCACCTGTTCATGAGAGTTTAGAGGTCTATGCACCTAAACCCCCAAGTCTCGTTGGGCAACCACTTCATAACCATCTAGATAATACCCTGATCTATCCTTTGTTGGTCCAACGTGGATAACCCCACACTTGCTTACATTGAACTCCATCTGACATGGTTTTGCCCATTCATTTAATTTATCAATATCCGTATGTAATTTTATGTCATAAGCTACACTGTCGAGAGTACCACCTAACTTTATGCCATTAGCACATTTGGATATTTGACTTTCTGTGCTATTATCCATGTTATTAATAAATAATGTGAATAACTGAGGCACTAACAGAGCCCTGTGGAACACCACTGATCACATCCTGCCAATTTGATCATTATCCCTACTTTCTGTCACTTGCCTCTTAACAAAATTTCCAGCCATGTCAATAATTTGCCGTCAGTTCTCTGGGCTTCAACCTTAGTTAACAGTCTGTTATGTGAGACTTTAGCAAATGCCTTCTCGATGCCCATATAAGGTACGGCAATGGCCTAGTGGTATTATTGCTCGACTATTAATCCAGAGACTTTTGTTCAATTTTAAAAATCTGGAAATAAGAGTCTAACGATTGTGAAACCATTATCCATTGTCGGAAAAATGTATCTGGTCATTGTTTCCTTCCCTAAAGGATATTAATCGTCCTTATCTGGTCTGGCTTATATGTGACGCCAGAGCCACTGTTATGGACCAGGCCAAACCCCTTAAAATATATTAAGATGGTATTTATTTTTACATGCAAGTGTAAGGCATTGTGGATGTAACTCGATTAAGTCAAACTACCAGGCTTGAATCAAAGCATGCATCATTCTTACAACACAGTTAAAATATAGACAAAATAACAATTTTTAAAAATTAGCTTAACTGTAACTCTATCAAAATATTTAACAAGATAACTTTTATGTTAACTACTACTGATCAGCTGTTTCACGATAGTGACATCCTATAAACACACCCATGACAAAGGCAAATTCAGTAAAATAGATTGTCTCACAGTTTCTCCAGGCCAGGAGGAAAGAACATCAAGAGAAAACTGGCACAGAGAGAGTGAACCCCAGTGTTTTGATGTAGCAGGGAAAGATGTATACCAGCTTCTGAATCCCAACAGCTACTGAAAGTTCAATTAAAATCCTGATTGTTTGGAAGCTTGACTGTACCCTTTCATGCTGCTTCTATTGTTCGAACTGTTTTGTAAAAAGCCACAAGGCCTCACAAGCTGTTAACGTTTTTGGCTTGGAACAGACTGCTTGATACCTCTGTCTCAACCTCTCATCATTTTTAAAAGAAAAAAAGGACAAAAATACACCTCTCAAAGCCATAGTATCATCACACCACAGCAATGCAGTCAACTCTTAACTGCCCTCTGAGCAATTAGGGATGAGCAGTAAATGCTGGCTGAGTCAGTGATGCCATATCCTGAGAGTGAATTCTAGAAAATGTAAACAACATCCATAGATGTTCCCTGTCCTACCTTAGTGATGTCTTCAAAAAAATTTGGTGAAGCTTGTCAGGTCTGACCTACCTGTCATGAATCCATGCTCACTTTCCCTGAATAACTGAAAATTTCAGGGTGCTCGGTTACCCCATTCTTGTTTATAGACTCCAACAATATCCCCACAACAGATGTTGGCTAACTGGCATATAGTTCCCTTGTTTTCTTCTCTCATCCTTCTTTTTAAAAAAAAAAAAAAAAAAAGTGATTTGCAATTTTCAAATCCAGAGGAACGACTTCTGTATCTATGGCACTTTAAAAGATTACAGTAAGGGCATCTTTAATGTCCTTCCCTACTTCTTTTGTCACCCTCAGTTGGAAACCGTCAAGTCCTGGGGATTTGTCACTCTAATTCCATTAATGTACTTAAGTTAATTTATTCAGTCCCTGTTCCTAATTTCGTGGGACTTGCGGCATATTATCCTCCTTTTGTACTGTATCTACTGAGGCGATGTAATTATTCAACATCTTTGCTATTTCCCTGTAGTCATCGACAGTATAATCCATTTTCAGCCTTAAAAAAAGCACAAAAGAACTGCAGATGCTGTAAATCAGAATCAAAAATGTAAGTTGCTGGGAAAGCTCAGCAGCCCTTCCTTGGAAGGGTCACGGTGAGGAAGGGTCACCGGACTCGAAACATTAACTCTGATTTCTCTTCACAGGTGCTGTCAGACCAGCTGAGCTTTTCCAGCAACTTCTGTTTTTGTTTCCACTTTAAGTCTTTAGTGGGCCAACACTGTTCCTTACCATCTGCTTTCCCTTTATGTAACTATAAAATTTCTTCGTATTGATTGTGATATCACTGGCAAGTTTCCTTTCATTATCCCTTTTGGCCTCTCTTATAAGTTGCTTTGTGGTTCTTTGCTGGTTTTTATATCTTTCCCATTCAGCGGGATCTACTATTTTTTGCACTTTCGTAAGCCTCTTTAGTTTTGTGCTGTCCCTTATCTCTTCAGTTCTCCATGGGTGTTTTTTCTGTGAAGTGGAGCTTTTCACTGTTAGGGCTGTAAACTGGTTTTGTACTGTGTTATATGCTTCTTTAAACGTCCTGTACTGTTCTTCATTGCTTTACCAATTAGCAAATTTTCCCAGTTTACTGTGGACAGTCTCTGTCTCATTAAAGTCGGCCTTAGCTAAACCTAAAACTCTAGCAGCTGATTCGTGCTTTTCAATCTCAAATGGTACCTTGAACTAGATCATGTTATAATCACATTTGATAAGCATTCATGCACAGTAAGGTTACTAATTAAATTTGGCTCACGACTCATTACTAAATCCAATATTGCTTGTCCCCTGGTGTATCCAGCATGTATTGCTGTAGGAAACTATCCTGGATACACTCCAGAAATTCACTACCTTTCTGAAAGGTGCTTGTCTACCTCTCCCAATCTAAAGTTTCCTATTAATGCTACTCTTGCTTTGCTTCACACATGCTTAATTTCTGCATTTAGACAATCTGGCATTTCAGAGCTGCTACGAGGGGTTTGTATACACACCTATTACAGTTTTAGATTCTTTACTGTTCCTTAGTTCTATCCATATGGTCTCCACTGAATGCTTTGTCCTTATTATATCCTTCCTCATCATTGAATCATTTTGTTTCTCATCAGTAAGGCTACTCCATTTTCTCTGTCATTTTCCCTGTTCATCTGTTAAACCTCTATAACATGGTATATTTAGTTCCCGGTCCTTTCAGTTCAACCTTACCTACTCTGCAATCCCTCAAAGTTGATGCTTTGTGCTCATTGTGTCTGCTTTTGTTTGCAGTCAGATTGAATTGGGTCCCAGCAAATGAAACATTTTCTGTGAGCATTTAATTTTCTTTGTGTCTTCTGGCAAGTACAAGTTCATTCATTATACCTGAAGTGTTAATAAAGTCATTGTCCTTTGGAAACATTAATTAAATCCGATCATGTTTTCCAAACCCAGCGACAACAGGCTACAGAAGTTGCGGATTATGGAGACTGCTTTATATTGTAGTAAAATATTATATGCATGCAGGATGCAAATACTAGTTTTACATTTTCTTGGTGAAGGAGGTTGCAGTGAATTGAATGTTAATAGCCCAAGTAAGGAGTTTAGAGGCAATTAATATTGCATGTTTCTGTTACACAAACTCAGCTCCAAACTGAAAATATGTAAGATACGGGTAGATTTTATTTGGTGGGTAAAAGTGTAGCTAAGGGGCAGGAGTTAAATGTGGCAAAGTTCTAATTTCTAGCCTGCTAAATGTTTTAGGTCACTGTAACCTGATCGTGTTTGCCATGAGATATGTTTGTGCAATATGCAAGATTCAGTTGACCATAATAAATTTGAGCATTGGCAGAAACGTAACATTGATGTGATGGCTGAGTGATCTATAATTTACTGTTTCCTCTTGTTTACATGGCATCTGTATAAAGGAGTTCTGTGTAGAGGCATTGGCAGGCACATGAGCTTCAATTATGTCTCTGCATGCTTTGAATGTTTTCCCTTCGTGTTTTTGGGTATGTGAGGTGTTTGTCACAATTGCTGAGCCATTCTGCAAACTTCTCCAAAGTTGCATCCTTTTTAGGACTTGGTTTACTATCCCTATTATTCTCTTCAAATAAGATTGAGTTGAGGGACTGTCCAGCTATCTCTCAAGGGCTGAATGTGCAATTGTTGTTCCTTTTGTAGTTGATGTTTAAGGTCCAGAAGTTCCTTAAGCCACTTTTCCCTTCCACTCGTGCTCAGCCACTCTGCAACACAGCTCTTTGCCAGCTCGTCAGATCAGTCCAGTTTGTTACTGCTGTCTTATTCTGGGAGATATCATCATATGACTGCCTGCCTTTAACTGCTCCTGTCCCAGACTCCTGTTTGTCTGTTGCCGTTGACATAATGTTACATAAAGGATTATTGTGCAAAGTAAGAACTGATGTGTAGGGGAAAATTAGTAGCATGGATAGAAAATTGGTTGGCTAATTGGAAGGAAACAGCAATATGCATATATGGCAGGATGTGACGAATTGGGTCCCAAGGGAGACTCTGTTGGGCCCTCAATTTTGTTTTACAAATTTATACCAATGGCTTAGATGAGGGGAGCAAAGTCATGGCAGCTTAATTTGCAAATGATACAAAGCTTAGTGGAAAAGTGTTTGTGAAGATGACATATGGATGTAGACCAACATAGGTTGTGAGTGGGCAAAAATCTGGCAGCTGGAGTGTAATTTGGAAAGTAAGTTCTTCATTTTGGCAGGAAGAATAAAATAACAGCGTATTAGTTAAGGGGAGAACTCTTGCAGAATTCCAAGATGTGGAGGGATCTAGGTGTTCTAGTGCATGAGTCACAAAAAGTTAGCATGCAAGTGCAGCAAGTGATTACGGAGACTCATGGAATGTTATCCTTTATTGTGAGTGGGATTGAATACAAATTAGGGGTTGTGCTTCACTTGTACAAGGCATTGGTGAGGCTACAATACTGTGTGCAGTTTTGGTCTCCTGACTAAAGGAAATGCATTGAACATGATTCCAGGCAGCAATCTACTCAACACCTGAAGGAGGATGGGTTGGACAGGCTGAACTTATTTTCAGTGGAGTTTAGAAGAGTGATTTTCTATATCCACCTTGTCAAGGTGGATATAGAAAATGTTTCCTCGTGTGGGTGACTTCAGATGAGGGGATACTTTTCATTATATTAAAAGAATTGAGTGGTTGGCCTTTTTGAATGGAGAGGAGGGGAAATATTTTCTGATTGTTGGGCAAGTTTGGAATACTCCTGCCTCAAGACAATAGATTGGAATCATTTGAATTTTCTTTTGAAGTTGTGGATTTATTTATCTCAAGGTTATTGGTGGTAAATGAGAATGTGGAATTTGGAACACAAACAGATGTGATCTTATTAAATGGTGGACAGACTTGAAGGGCCGAGAAACAACTTCTGCTCCTTATTGGTATGTTCTTATGAAGCCCTGCCTCCCAAGACTTAATGTGTCCTGTTTTTGACTTCTAAAAATTTTGTCGCTGTGCACACAAAATGGGTCAAAGGGTCTAGGCCCGAAATGTCAGCCTTCCTGCTCCTATGATGCTGCTTGGCCTGCTGTGTTCATCCAGCTCTGCACCTTGTTGTCATGGGTCAAAGGGGGAGCAGGTTTACGCTGACCGAACAGGACCTATGCTGCTAGATGATGTAAATTGAACAGATATTCACATCAGTAAACTATTACTGCTGTATACAGTCTTTAGTCTCTGTAATATTCATTGGAAGTGCATTGGATTAAATCAAGTAATTTCAGGATAGGTCAAAATTTAAATGACTCTGTCATCGCCAGAGTCTTGTAATGAAGCTTCCATGGATATCTTTCCTTTGAAAACCTTGGCTCTTAGCTTGTGGCTGATGATACACTGCCCCTTATTCTGTCCACACCAACGTGATGGTATGCCCCTTATCTTGATGTGCATGTAGTAACTAGTGGCTGGGTTGGGAGAAAGAAAGTGAAAAGGGCAGCAGTTGTTTTTTTTTTAAAGCATTGTTTTAATTGAATCAACAACTTCTGATGCATCTTCCTTCCTGGTCAGATTTTGTGATGTGGAGTTCCACGGTCCGCTCTCGATTCAGGAAGAATGGGTGAGACATCTGCAGCGACACATCCTGGACATGAACTTTCCAAAGACGGAGGCTGCCCGTGAAGAGATCTCTGTGTCTACTGACACAGGGAAATAGGCCAAATCTGCTGCCTGTGTGGATACTTGGGTACACTGGGGGCAGAATGTCCATTGCAGTCTCTCACAAAGACGCACTCGATTTTATGTTCTAGTTTTAGTCAAGTTTGGAAAGATTCTTCTTTGCCTTGAACGTGTAAACCTCTGTGTAGTAATGAAAGTATCTGCCTTATGGTGATTTCTTTAGAGTAATTCTGCATTGGCCTCACACACTTAGAATGTAAAAAAATCAATTTAGCCCTGATTAATTTCATACAATGTAAAATCAGTTAGGTACCCAGTGCACTTCAGGGGAGTGGCAGTGCTTGATGAGGGCTGCACAGCATTGTATTTGGCATTTATATAACCTGAATCAAAACCACCGTTTACTTATGATCCATTTGATACCACTGTCATGCTCCCGGGTAATGGATCAATCCCTCCCTTGGGAGACGAGAAGGAAAGCTCAAGGTGGATTGTTAATAATTATTTTAAAAATCCATCTTTCAATGTTGTGCCATTTTTCTTTAAACCACAGTGTAGCAGGTGTTTCTCACAGTGAGAAACACTATTCACTGTTTCTCATATCAAGGCCAGCAGGGGAAGGAAACAAAGCCCATACGCAGGTAGCTGCCATAGTGTGGATCATTGAATGAGGGCAGAACCAAATAATTACAGGGAGGCGATATGGACATTATGCAGTCTATGTACCGTGTGATTGCAAGTCTTACTGGTTTCGCGTTGGGCTGTGTGTCATCCAAACCTTGCAGAGAAGAGGCCCAACTATACAAGGCTGGTTCAGTATTAAACAATGTGCTGTGATGTACCTAGGCTTTGATATGGAGGTTATTTTGCATGCTGTCAGACTGTAGTCACCGATCAGAGGTCAGCAGTGCAATACAATGCAGAACCATAAGCGGAAAGTTCACAGTAGGTGTGCCAGCATCTGAAAAGTGGTAGATTAGGACTGTTCTGATTGGCTTGTCAACACAGCACTAAGTAGACGTGTCTGTTTCAATGCAGCCTACAGAAGGGGATCTTGGATACTGTAGAATGTCCCAGCTTAGCAAGATCGTAGTCCTATTGGGAAATTGAATAGTTGCTGCTTGTATTCCATGTCCTCAAGGTTTTTATGACCACAACACTGCAGCTGATGCAATTTACCATCATGCCTGTGCATAGGTCAAGCCACATTCTTCAGTGGGGCAGCTGTCAGTGGGCATATGGCTACAGGAATGGATTGGACAGTCTGAAAGGACAGGCTTTTCCTCCGACTCTAAGAACTAAATTGCATTTTTTTCAGTAACATATTTATACTCATCCTTTTGGGTGCTTCCTAATACTTAGTTGCTTTTTTAATATTTGGCAAAGGACCTATTTGTTTTTAGAAGTGCTTTGGTCACAAAGTGGCAGTACATCTGCACATAAAAATGTAAGTGTATAGTAAAACTGTAAAGATGCTTTCTTTCCTCTTTCATCCTCTTCTATATGCTGGATGATGGTTGATTTTTAGCTAGTTATAAAGGCAGGTTTTAGAGTCTTTAGCTGTGTTCCTTTTCACAGCTGAGATCCTCTTGGCATCTTGTGGTCTGACCAGCTGAGTTGAAGGCTTTGAGAGATGCCACTTCAGGGCACTTGGGCCTTGGAGGCCCTGCAGCCCTTGCTGGGCTGCTCCCCACAGATGCCATGTTCGCATCACTGCCTCAGCGAATGTTGATGGGCTTACTGTTCCATCTCTGTAAATGGCAACACTTCCAAGTGTCCTTCCTGCTGCTGTGACAATGCACCAGTCACTGATTCTCTGCAAACAAGATAATGTAGCTGTGGGGAGGAAGGAGAAGGGGATCTCTCAAGGCTGCTCACTAGGAAGATGCTCATTAAACTCCAATTCCTGTCCTCTTCCTCCTCCGCTTACCACCAAATAAAAATCCTGTCTGTCTGAGGACCACCTCTTTTTTGTTTTGAAAGCGGGATACAAAAGGCTGTTTTGTTCTGCTAAAGCTGTTCAATTTAAACCTTATTGTTTGTGGTCACTTTATATTTGCAGTGTTGTGATGTGAGTCTGTGCATCTAATGCAATTGGACTCCCTGTGACCAAAAAAAATCTTGTTACCTGTTTGTTCCTGTGACTGTGTATTGTTGTAACATGGAGTGTAATGAAATATACCTTCATAACCAAAGGTGCTATGAAATTGGTTGTTTGGTATCCCAGGAATAAGGTTTGTTTTTGAGAATGGACTGCCGTGTCAACACATGTACAAAAGCTCCTTGGTTGAATTGGTGGAAGTTCAGACTTCTGTGTCTTGTTTAAATCATTTTCACTATTCATTTGGATGCATATAGTTTTAATATTGTGCTTTTTTTAAGTGTATTAATGTGACTATGCTCTAGGAAAGATTACATTCAGTGCATTTTAACATCATGTGATGCTGTTAATTCATTACCTAAAATTGCTACCACTGCCAAACCTGTTGTTCTTGGTGCTGCTTTCTCGTGTTACGTACTCCTGCAAAATATTTGGCATTTGCCCAGGGAGACATAATCCATCATTGTAGAATTAGGAGCATCTCTTTGTTAATGCTCACCATTGAGTTTAACTGAGAGCCTAATGGTTCTGTAAAGCTTGTGTGAATCAATCCTGGTTCTGGTTGCTGCTACATGTCCTCAGATGCTAAGTGAGTCTGTGTGATTGTGTATTTGGAGAACATGCATTGCAGAGTTGGCTGCAGTTCTCCACAGGTTCAAATGTTGATTGTATCCCTGGTTTTAAAAATCAAGATTAAACTCAGATCTTGATTACATCCTTGGTATTAAAAATCTAGATTAAGCTGCATCTCTCCACAAATGCCGGGGCAGTGAGCAGGCAGGTACTATTGGAAACACCAAAATGCACCTTTGGAGATTTTTCTTTGGTGCGTCTGATTGGCATGAGCTGTTTTGCAAATTCCTATTAATGTTTCAGTGGTCAGTCTCTAAAATGCTGTAGAAATGACTAGTTCATACCCCAAAATTTAATGAAATATTCAGGGTCATTGGCATTGACTGTTAATACTGTTTTTGGGGATTGAAGTGTTTTTGCAGGTCACTGTTTAGTGTGCAGATGAGCCTTGTGATGGAGTTGAAGAAATTTAGACAGCGACGAAGGAAGACTCTTACAACCAGCTTAGAAAACAATTGTACACGTTTTGTTTTTCGAAGAGTCTGAGAGGAATTTTAAAAGCATATTTTGGGAATCTGAATACTGTGTAAAGTTTCTTAGAGCAGGATGGTACCTCTAAAATGGTTGATGTGCTTGTATTTTGCTGCAAGTTTCTTACTTTATTGATGCAGAGGGAACTTCTTAAAATGCTTACTATTCCTTGTACTATAACCTGTTGTTCTCGCATGTATTGTTAAATATTATTCTCATCTATGTTTGTATTTTAACCTGATTTTTTTTAATACAAATGTTACCACAATATGAATTGGATTTGCATCTTGTGTAGCTTTCAATTTCTTTGTGCTCATATTGAGATGTTTCAAAAGTAAATGTCTCTTGTTTTAGGGTGCTAGTTTTAAACCATTTCCTCTTGCACCATCAGTTCACCATCTGGCAGAAACATCCCACTGTATGGCCTCTGTCCAATTGGGGTTGGATGATGGTACGTTGCCCTTGCATATGAAAGAAAAGTTGACATTTGTTAATTTCTTCATTTCTCCCCCCTCTCAACTGAAACAGGTAGATGCCCGGATTGGGTTTGCATGTCATAGTGAATGGTGGAATTCTACAATATGTGGTGGTAGTTTGTGGGTACAGAGTAATGTTACAGGGAACTTGGGAATCAAGCTGCATTACTGTCAAGTAAGTGGTTGGTAATTGCTTTTATTCAAGTTATCTAAACACTGATCTGAGAAGTAACTACGGTATTTTATGTGCAGGTAGGGGGATATTAATCTCCAGGTCAGCATAACCCTTTTGATAAAAGATAATCCATGCATTGCTTAGTCAGGAAGAGCAAAGAGCAAACAAAAGCAAAGTAGATTAAGGGAGGGATTCCAGACTTTGGGGGTACCGAGTAGCTGAAAGCAAAGCCACCAACAGTGAGTGATCAAAAGTTAATCTTTGAGTAAATTATTGTGGTGTTCTTTGTTGGATTGATCATCTGACTCAGCCTCTGCAGAATTTCACTGGGCTCCACAAAGTTGTTTCATTTTGAATGTGCCAGCCATTTACTATTTCTGCAAAATAAATAATGTGGTACTGTTCAGGGTCCTGGAATTCAACTCCAACAATCCTGTCAAAGCACAGAGTGAATCCCCAGTAGAGCACAACCAGTAAATGTAACCATTCTTCTTTCTGGTTTGTTCAGGACTGTGCAATCATAAGCCTAGTGCTCACCTTTTGTTAGCTTTCTCTAATGGCTCATTGCATAAATTGCCCTGTATTTTTTTTTTTGCAGGTCAGATTCTAAGTTGTTTCAGAGATAGTAGGAACTGCAGATGCTGGAGAATCTGAGATAACAAGGCTGAAGAAGGGTCTAGGCCCGAAACGTCAGCCTTCCTGCTCCTCTGATGCTGCTTGGCCTGCTGCGTTCATCCAGCTTTACGCCTTGTTATCTAAGATTCTAAGTTTAATTCCCAGTCTCTGTTGAACAAGTTACTCTTGGTCAGAACTCGTTAGCTTTTCTGTTCACGATTCGTGGAAATTTGGCATGTTACTTTAGTAGCTGAGAACAGGATTTGCTTCAGATAATACCTGGTGACTCTAACTGCTGAAATCTTGTCTAGTTTTATCCCACACCCCATGCAGTGTTTAAAATGTAAAACTGGTACTCAACTGCAGTGAATCTGAGCACATTCAAGATGGTTGCAAAACTGGACAGAAACGTTTTGTCTGAAATGCACATAACATTTCTTATGCAGGCTGTAGAACATCCACTCTCCCAGTTCAAATATTTTCCCAGCCCCCTTGAATCGCCTGGTTAATCGGTTGTAGTGGTGGGGGATTGAGGGTCATTAAATGATGTATGATCTATGCTAGTATTTAAGTGGGCATGCCATAAAGCAGTCTGCCTCTTGACACAAAGTTAGCTGATTAATTAGTGTTCTTGGGATCCTCTAACTAGGCACAGATTTGAGGGCAGACTGATAGCCCACCATCTGGAATATTTGGCATGCGTCTATTGAGTAAATGACATGGGAAAGTGATTTCCAAGAACTTTTAGAAAGTTCAAATGCATAGCTTATGTATCTTTATACTGCAGAGCCTGTACTTTTTTCTCTTCTACTTCTACTCCAGCTTCCTTCAGTGCTTTGTGGTTGCAAAAATGGTTAGTAGTTTACTGATATTTCTTCATTTACCGGGACCCTGCATATCATTGCCAACATGCTGTTGTGTTGAACAGACATGAGAGGTTATGCAATCCAACCTATCAGCTTTGAGACCCCTGAAACACATTCTGATTTAATTTACCAAGGAGCTTTTAAAGCATTACTTCACAAAATTAACTGTCCCTATTACAAATGATCCTTTCAGTGCTTATTGGCAGTTGTCTCCTTTTTAAATGCCTGCAGTACAAAGAAATTTTTTAAAAATCATTTGTCCAAACTTTCAGCAGATGACTTGTTTTGTCATCTGTAACACACGTCCAAGTTAATATTTAGTGTCTCAAATGCTGATTATTGGGGAATGTGCACACCTGACTAGCCTGTCAGGTACCTCCTGCTTTTATTATTTCTCCAATTCAAATGGTTCTGCAGAGTAAGATCATAATCATATGTGTGTTAACTATGGTAGACACAGAATTGACAGTTTTTGAGAGATACCAATTGGAGCTATGGTATTATTTTTAAATCCCCTCCCCTGTCAATCTCGTATGCTGTTGTGAAAACAAGTTGCAGTGACTTCCATTAAATAACCTGGCAGACACGTGGTCAAAATACTGTTGCTCCCCTGAAATTTCTAATTCTCGCTAATGTCAAAGGACGCATCTTTTCACAGGGAGTCATGGATTATAATCTGAGTTGAACATGGGACCATAAGCATGACTTGATGCAGGGTTTGTCAGGTCAGGTTATGGTTTGCCAAACTACATTGTCTGAAGAAATGCTCACAGGTTAGAGATTTCCCTGATTAACTATTGTTTGTGAATTGGGCATCAACAGTGATTTGGTTTCTGTTTGAAGGGGAATCTGTTTTGCAAATAATGTTCAGTATCAATTAATAGAAATGTAGTCGGTATGTAAATATTAAAGGATGCATCATTTTCTAATGAACAATTCCAACACATTTTTGAAGTGTTAAAGCTTTCCTGTAGGTGTGAGATGCCCAGTCCATTCTATTAACCCATCCCATAGTTTAAAAAAAATCACATCAGCTTTTGTACAAATTGTATTTTACCGGTTAAAAGTCACTTTTACAGTAGGAATTTTAATTCATTGTCTTAGTGTTTCACTGATGCCAGCTAAGTGAAGTTGCCGAGGAATAATTGGACAAGCTTTTTGATATTGAAGCAACAAGTCCCACGTAAAATAAGGATCTCTAAAGTAAATGTAACAGGTCTAGGCCTGAAATTAGCTGATGCATTTTGAAGATTTTAAATTTTAGTTTCAATTTATTGTAAAATAGTTTTCACCTGTGACTCATGCTTTCCTTAGCTGTAGTACTTAAAACAATTTGTGGTGATAGAACATAGTCCTGACATAGAGGTTAGTTAAGCTCCAAACATTTGGTAGGGGTATATGGCTTAAGCTTGATTTTTAAAATAAAATATCATGAGCCAGAATGAGAGTAAATGGAGTAGCTGCGGCAAGGATATATCTACAAATGAAAGTTCAAAAGGTGGAGTACAGAAGCTCCCCTAATGCTGTGTTCTATATAGCCTCTGCATTGAAATTTTTGCCTCTAATCACGTGATTGGTAGAATATAGCTGTCAAGCTTATGCGTATGATTTGCTTTGTGGTAATTCCTATAGGTAACATTTAATTTTCTTGGCCTCTAGGAGGTGCACAAGCATCTCATTTGTTGTTTACAAATCTCTCACTGGTCATTTCGAAGCAGACATTCTTTCTTCCATTCTCCAATACATTTTCTATACAAACATTTTCCAGCTGGCTATGTAAAAGACCTTATTTTAACTCAGTGGCTTTTCTATTCCCTGTTTCTGTTGGTAGTCAATGCCCTGTTAAATAATTGTTGAAAACAAAATTGCTTACTCTCCAAAGCCACTCTTCGGCAGCTATGGTGAAATTTGTGATCAAGTTTGACATGAAGCTTCCAAGTTCATAATAATACACTCTTAAACACTACTGCTGCTCAATTTGTCCTCTGAGCTGTGTAGTTTCTGTTGCTGGGGTCAGTGGAACACAGTAAGGAGGTAAACATTGCATTTTTATAATTTTTTTTTAAAAATGTATACTTGATTGTGCACAGCTGTAAAGGACTGTATTTACTAATATTTGTACTTGGGAGTTGTTTATAAATTTAGATAAAGCTTCTAAGATGTGTATGCAGCCCAATTTGACTGAAACTTTTTCACTTTTTTTTGGTTCTTGAACTGTTGAGGTTAAATAAACCAAACTGGAAGCTGATGCCTCAAAACTGTTACTGCTGTACATGTTACTGAAGGTTGTGTATCCATTTAATCTAAATAAACACTACGAAAACTAAACTTTGTTTAGAAGAATTTGTTCAGGCAAGTTGGGCATAGCATGTGAATGTAATTCATTTGAAGAAAACTCATTTAGTAACTGCTACAGCTATCAAATAAGGCTTCCTCCTCTAGCTGCTTCAGATTAAGTGTTGTGGAACACTTAAGTGTCATAGATGGGTAGTACTTATTGTTCCTGTAGATGTTTACTGTACATAGCACTACACTTCTGGTGCTGTTATAAGAACCACAACACAGGATTACATTGGAAGTTTTAATTAACACCACTACAAACTGATTTACAGTTGTGTATAAAATTGAAAACAATGAAGTAGAGTCAAAGTACATTGCATTTAAATAGCCTAAATAAAGGTTGCTGCTGCATAGGAAAGCAGGGTGGAACTAACCCAGTACAGGAAAAATAAATGCAACAACTTTCTGCAGCTCATACAATGCTAAACCACACTGCATTCCCACCAAGCCAAGCCATACTTGTTTTCAATTCAACATTACTCAATATTGAAGTGTACTTGATCACATGCCAACTGATCTGCATTTGGTTTGAAAACAGTGGAGGTGCAAACGCTTAAAAAAATTAGTTGGGCTGCCAGTTGGGTTGGTTTTTGTATATTAAATGTAATTTGAAACCTTAAGAGGCAGCCTACACCCTGCAGGAATGCAGTATTATTGCCCTGAAGCATTTCTAGATTTTCACAATAGCTCCTTCACTAAAGAGTGCTAGACTTGTATTTGCAGTTACGAAAATCAAATTTTAAAACAAGCAACATGCTCAGAAGCACCATTCACCATCTTCATGCAAGAAAGCTAATTATTACAACAAAATATTCTAAGTCATTCAAATCCTGCTACATATTTACACCTCATCTGTACACAAACCAAAAGAGATTTTTTTAAAACCAGTGTCTTTGTTTTACAACTGGAACAAATCTGGATTGTGTAGCTTTGAATCAAGATTTCCAGACCTTGAGTTAAGATCACAAACTTCAATTACTGCAAACAAACTTCATGCCAGTCCTTAGTTAGTAGGGATCAATTGAACACCACATTAATCACATTACAGGAACCAAGTTTATTTAAAAAAAAAAATTCACATCAGATGTAGAAGTAAACTCGACTTGGTTTTAGCCATATCAGATGAAACTGCAATACAGCAAGTGAACACAAATCTACTGGCAAGTTAAAAACAATGAAATTTTTAAACTAGTATAAACCTCAATAGCTGGTATGTGATAGAATTATACATCTGCATGTCTGCAGAAAGTTGTACTATAAGTTTACTCCAACTGTTCTTCATCTCCCTTCAGCATCTCATCTTCCTCTTCTGCTGTCAATTCTGGATCCTTGTCTTCAGCTGCCTCCCCAATGAACACCCCAGCCCCTGCCTCTCCCTCAGCCTCCTCTCTATCTTCTGTGGCTCCCTCTTCTCCAGCCTCTTCCTCTTCCTCAGCCTCTTCCTCCCCTCCAGCCTCCTCTTCTGCCTCCCCAGTTTCCTCTTCTGTTGCTTCCCCTGCATTTTCTTCAGATGGATCTATCATTTCTTGCTTTATTTCAGTGACAACATTGTCTCCTGTGTCTTCAGTCTCCTCTTTGTTCTCAACATCCACAGAGCTATCCTTTGTACCATCACCCTCCGCAGCTGCATCAGCAGCATCTTCCTCGTCTTTGTCTGGATCATCAGTGAATGGGTTCTCGCCCTGCGAAAACACATAGGTGCAGCAAAACTTCAATAGAATTCCTACAACAGAATTACTAAATATTAATCCCAACAGGAAGGCAATCAACTATCCAAGTCCTTCTTTCAGACAAATATAAAATCTTAACCATCACTTGCTCAAAAGGCCTTTCCTATTCCATAATATGGAGGTAAATTGCTTTAAAAACAGAACAAGCACTGAAAAGTTCAAAACACAAACCTGGTATCATTAAATGTTCCATCAAGATTTTACTGATTTGTTTTGTTAATAATTAGGAATATCCCATTTCTTAAAACAAAACAGTCCATTTATAACCAGTACTCTTGATAAACTGGTAAACATATTTACTCTTATTCTGTTCAATTATTATAGTTTATTTATCCTAATTGACAATATACTTGGCTCAAGCAAGCAGCCACAAACCATCAATAGTTGATTCAATTAAATCAATTTCTCAATGTCTGTGTAGTAAGTGCAAGTGAGAAAGCTCTCTGCTGATGTTTTAAGGCAAAGTTGCATTATTACTTATAACAAATCACTTGAATAAAGTATGTGACATGTGTAGCCTCATTTTATGTTTCTATTACTATTTGATAAAGCAGCACACTCCTGTTCTCATAGGTGCTAGAAAATAAAAGTTTACTGTATTTAAGTTCTAGCTGGTGACAAAAAATGAGTACTGGTGATTAGGACACATTGTACATATGTAGCTTACATTTAGCTGTAGTGGAAAATGAGAGGACTCATCTGTAAGGCAGAATCTTCAAGATGGCCATATAGTCAACAGCATGTTTGAAATATACATCAGTGTTATGTCTTTCAATCCAGAATTGACACCAAAATAAATTCTGTCTGCAACTGGTTGCCGTTCAGAACTAAACAAACCCTTGAAGACAGTAGTTACCTTCTTGTACTTTTCTAGCATTGCTGCAATGTTACGGTTATTCAAGACACTCCTAGCAACAACAAGGCTGCCCTTCTTGACTTTCTCCAACATTGCCTGGTAGGAAAGAGATGGTAAAGGATAATCAATGAAGCTGGTGATTCCTTGCTTTTTTTTGGAAAAAAAAAATCTTACTTCCTTATTTACAGGACTCAAAAGAAAGCTTAGCTAATTAGACAACAATTTGGTCAAGTTATAAAAGGTATATTGAGGCATCCACCATACTCAAGTCAAAACAGAACTATTCAATCCACAGGTTTAGGGAACAGGCCTGGTTGAAGCATGACAGCTTTCACCAACACACCCCATTCTGCTACTGTACAGCATCTATGAGCTAGCACTGAAGCTTGGGCACAAGCAATGACCACGTGCCACTCTTCTGCCTATATCTGGGATAAAGGACTAATCGCTTGCACTTACAAGTGGAGAGATCTACAGCACAGAAAAAGGCCCATTGAGACAACATCAGTCAAAAACCACCTACATACCACTTTCCAGCACTTGGTCCATAGCTTGTAAACCCTGTATATCTAAGTGCTTATTTAAATGTTAAGAGGGTTTCTGCTTCCACTACCCTCTGGATGTAAACATTTCTCCCCCTGCCGCCACAAAGCCTTCTACTTTAAATCTATGCCTCCCGGTCAGTGACTCCTCCAAAGAGGATACTACTTTTAGTCTACCTTTTCAGAAATCTTGAGGTTAAAGTTATTGGATGGACTTCCTCAGTTTATAAAAAAATTAAACTGGGGAGGGTGGGGAAAAGATCTGACCAAAACAATCTTAAAGTTCTGAAACCAAAGTTCCAGTATTAATTCTGGTTAAGGGCAAGAGACTTGCTATCACTAAGGAAAAAGAAACCTTAAGCGTAGCCTACATGGTGAACAGCAGTAAAGAAGCAGTCTCCTGAAGTTTCAGCATTAACACCAAACTGCAATGAGGATGACTTGTGATTTCCTCATTCATGAGCCTCCCATACATCTCAGATGGTTGTGCATCAGACAGACAATCTGCTAGATACATAATGTTAAGCAGAACTGAAGATTAATAAATAAATCCAAACTATCCCCAAAGAGTTGACTGGGCACTGTACAATGCTAACTCTTAAAAAGATCAACCAAGACACCTATGTAATCTGTTTTCCCACTAAATAACTAAAGCAGTTATTCTTTCCCTAGGTGTTCTGGGAGTAGGTCAGTCTACATCTCCCACAAAAAAGGAAAAGCCTTGTTAGTCTGTGCTTCCAATCACTGAACACAGGTGTAATTGAAATGTCAAATTTTGTTTGCCATAGTTTTCCCCCCCCTCCCTCACCTCTATAAAAAGGGTGGAGAATGGAAACAGATCACTCAGCCCAAGTCCAGAGATGTCAACATCCATGCAAGACAACCATAAGTGTAGAACATGTGACAGCTAAGTGTTGGCACATACAAATGACACTAAATGAAATTCCTTTTTCACAGTAAAGGGTTTTAGAGTGGCTTGGATCAATGTCCTTGCTGAAAGTATAACTGGCTAACTCATACCATAAATTGGAATCTGTGGTACCCTTCATCTGCTTTTTTAAAAAACATATAGATTGTGATTTCCACAAAGTTGGTGAGAAGTAGGAAAAACTACAAAAGAAAGAAACAGCTCCAAGAGAACATTAGCCTCCTCAATAATCTCTCTGCAATTCAAAATCTGCTTCACTTATTAAACAGCACTTACTCTGCGGTTCCAGCCGTGATCAGGCGATTTCAGATGTCGCATAAGGACAGCATTCTGGATGGGTATAAACAGATCACAGGCAACACAGTGTGCTGCTTCCACTTTCTTCATGAAATGTTCCAGACCAACATCTACAAAACAAACAAACAAGTCATGAAGGATTAGATACAGCAACTGATAGCAGAACAAATTCAAATGGGGACTGAAAAGGAGGGTTCCTCGACAAGGACGATAACAATGAACAAAAACAGACGTAGTTGCTGGAAAAGGTCAGCAGGTCTGGCAGTATCCGTGAAGAAAAAAATCAGAGTTAATGTTTCGGGTCCAGTCACCCCTCCTCAGAACTGAACACGTTTTGGGTTAATGTGTACAATTTACTAACAGAGAGACAGCTTATTAGAGATTTGGAAAAGTTTTTACTGTAACAGGTAAAAATGCCAGACTTTTAGAATCATGGAAACTAACATAGGATGAACAAGTGAGTGGTTCATGTAATTGATCAAGCCTGCTGCTTTTTTTTTGTCTGTCACAAGTGAAGGTTTTCTTCACCCTCAAAGGGTTTGAATTCCATACCGACAACTCTGTTTGGGTGCTTTGGAGTTTGTTTTTGGGAAGACCTGAAAAGACCCAAAGATCAAAGACCTGT